TTCCTATGTTTGTGGGTTGGGCTTTAGTTGTTTTTGTGTTTTTATCTCTTCTTGAAACGTTTAAAAACTAGTGGAGTTCTTTGAAATATATTGTATAGTTCTCTCTACATGTAAGGTTTCATTAATATACACATGTTAATATTAATTAATTTTGTTTAAGTCGCTCCAATTATTTCCTTATAAAATACCTAAATGAGAAAACATTAAAAAAATGACACCAAAAAAAAAAAAAATGTAAATACATACTTGTAACAAAAGTATATTTAAGATGATTAGATGTATCCAAATGTATGCATCGAAATATATTATAATAAATTAATTTATCTAAATGTCTGAGATGCATGTACTAAAAATATATTATATTAAATTAATGTACTAAAATGTATATACAAAAATATATGCAATGGTACTAATGTTCCTAAATGTCAATACCAAAATAGATATATTAGAATATATTCAATTAATTTATATACATAAATAATGAACACAAAGTATACCAAAATATATTACATAAAAATAATTACCTCATTGTCTAGATGCAAAATATACTATGGGAATAAAATGAAAATTACTATCATATGCAATTTGACACACCCCGACTCGGAATGTCCACTAGGACTCCAAATCGAGCTGTGATGGCCAACACCTGGAAGGTGACAAAACCATAAAGTGTAGTGATGTGGAAAATGTGAATAAATTTAAACCTAAAAGTGCCTAAATATAAGAGTGCGCTGGTGAGCGAGAATGAACTTATTTCACACGTGATGACAGAGCATAAGTAAAATACAGTAGGTAGGATAAGGATTATACGCTCAAAGGTAGCCACCTATATTGAGATTTTCCAAGAATCCTCGTCAATACAAAAGTTCAGCAGCTAAGACCTGGAGAGGCAAAAAAAATAAGGGTGAGTGGCCCTGAAAATAAAGTTTTATAAAAACCTTTATGAAAACATTGTAACCCTTCGCCGTACAACAAGTATAGTTTCCAAAATATACTTACTACGCGTAGTATAAAAATACTTATCGTAGCCTACAAAATCTCAAGAATTCATTATGGCACAATATCTCTTAACTAAGGGCAGGATATCCAAAATCACAAAATCTCAACAGTAATATAAGTAAAATCAGGTGCTCAACACAATCTATGCTAGCACAGAAGTTGGAGTCGCCTAATGCGACCTATACAACTGAACTGATGCTCATCAATCTATGCTAGCACACAAGTCGAAGTTGCCCAATGCAACCTGTACGACAGGACTGGGTGTAATCATAATATATGCTCTAGTGTTATAATCACGTGAATACTGGCGCTATTTGTGTTCACCTACAAGTTAGAGTTGCCAAATACAACCTGTACGACAGGACTGGCACCTATTTGGATCCAAGGCGAGCGTGTAGTGAGGAGGTGAACATACACGTGAAAGACTGGCCTTGGCCCTGGGCGAGCACTAACACCGGGGTGCAGCAATGATAAGCAGACTACATAAATATAAGCATGCCATAATAATTCAATAATTTTAGTCAACATAATAAACTTACCTGCGCATCCCGTAGGATTTAGCATATTTCATAAAGTTCGTCATTTCGCTAATTCTTTTAGTTTAATCCAGGCATATGTAAGAAATTCTTTTTCAAATGCATGAACTATCAATCATATATATATATATATATATATCTATTTACAACTCCCTAGCACGAATATCGAGGCATCACAAACGATCGTCACCTAGAACAATTATCAAATCATATCTTAGAATTCTTATCGATAGAACACGTAACTTACATAAAACACATCCCCAAAGACGTTTTAGAATGATTTGTAACTCATTAACCAAAAGTCAACCGTCGGTCAATGGTCGACGGTAAGGTCCACAACCCTACGTAACTCGATCCAGAAGATTCTCACCTCGAATTTCCAATTCCTAACTTACCAAGAGTTTCAATAAGCTTCTAGAACAACATCCTAAAGTTTCGGAACGATCCAACGGTCGGATCTCCGCCAATTACCAAAATTAAGTGACGGCCAACATTTAGGTTTACAAACTTAGAAAACCCATCCAGGAACATACGTACGATAGATTCCCGATCCATCAGTTCCTAATATCCTTAAATATTACGTACTATAACGTATTAAGGTTTGGTGACGATCCAATGGTAGGATTGTCAAATCATAAAATGGTTAAGTGTCATAGTATTCCATTTTAGGTTAAAACTAACGAACTATAACAAACGGTGATCAAATTGAAATCAGAACATGGCAGCATCGGCTCACTGACCATAAGCCGCTGCACGTGGCGGTCAGCTGCCCCGACTCGCCAAAAAATTGAATAACTCCAAAAAATTCCCAAATTTTACAGGAATGAAGATCTCAATTAGTGGAGCAAGTTTTATACTGTGGACAAGTCCGATTTGGCCGGAAAAAGCCTCAAATCGCCACGAATTTGCTGGAAACCTTAGAAAATGGTGGTTGTCGATTTGTTGTCTCCGATGCTCTGACGCACCAACCAAGGCTTGAGACTTGTTCCTAGGTTCACAAGGAGTGGAACCATGGTGGTGGTCGACGATGGTGACTTCAAAAACGGCAGATCGCCGCCGTGGATGCCCTCAGACTCATCAAATAAGACAACATGAGTTCGTCGTGAAATCTCCGCTAACTGCGATCAAGTTTGTGTGGAATTTGAAGAGGGAAGGTCATTGAGTCGAATGGTGGTGGTGTGAGACTCCAACTCGTTGGAAAACAGACGAAAATGGCGACGGAAGAAGCTGCCAGAAACTAGGTCAAGGGGATCCGGCCTTGGTTGGCTGCTCTCCCCCTTCTCTCCTTTCCCTCCTTGTTCTTTCCTCCCATTGGTCATCTCCTCACCTTCTTCTTCTAGTTGGTCCATCATCCTCCTTTCGCTCCCTGTTCTCCTTTCCTGAATGGGCAATTCCTTCCCCCATCTCTATTTTCTTCCTCTTGTCACCCGTCTCTCTCTCCCTTCCTCTTTTCTCAACTAATTTTAAAATAGTAATATAATAAGAAAATAAATGTTAAAATAATAATATAATAATTATGAGAAATATATACAATAATAATTAGTAATTTTTAGAAAAGTAGTTTTCGGATTGGTAGTTCTGTAAAACCTTCGTCATAACGCTGGCTTTGATTTCGCTTGCGCCTACGCGTTCATACTGTTGAGTACTTTGAGAATACGGTAAAGTGATAGCCCATACACGTCACGAATGACGGTCAATGAAAGTCAACGATCTCGCCTCTAGTGGCATTTTCGTAAATTCACTCTTTTGAAATTTATAAAATTGTAAAATTAGGGACAGGTCGTCAGACAATTAATATATTAAAATCAGGAAGAAAAACAAGTAATCAAACATCAAAATATAATTAATAAATGAGGTAATTATATGTACAAGGGACTAAAATATACTTCAATCTAACACAAGTTTATAGTCTCGAAGGTAGTTCTTCAAGGATTATAATGACATTTTTTAATATTTAATATTGTGTGGTTGTGTAAATTATAAGCAGAGATTATGAGTAATGCTAGATAGACCAAATTTTTTTAAATCAAATTTGTAAACTAAATGATGTGGTTGTAGATGATTGAATTATTAATTAAGTGTCGATTAACGTACTTGTTTCTTATTGGTGACACATCATATAACAAACATTCAAGATCTAGATAATCTTTCTTATTAGATTTTGTACTACTTAGAGATTAAGTTATTACCTCCCTACTATAATTGTGATTAGAGACATTAGACATAAGGAGTATCATACACAAAAAATTCCTCAAACTTTTCTCTCATTCCATGCCGCACCTCCCTTCTTCTTTCTAAATTTTAGTCTACAAAAAGAGTTTTACTTTTTATTTTATTTTTAACACTTAGGTTAAATAATTCAAACGAAAATCTAAGTGACAGTCATAATTAAATTACGTGGTCATAATTAAATTACGTGAAGATTTGTGTGCACCGAAAATCTAAGTGAAACTGCTGTGCTGCATGCTCTCAGGACCTAAGGTATAAACTTCCCACGTGGAGCCACACCCTTGAAATCTTGTCATGCTGATCTCAAGATTCAACGGACCATACTCTATTAGCAAAGCACGAAACACATAACTTGCAACTCAGTTTTAAAGAGTTGCGGTTTGCGCACATGTCTAGTTTGGAACTTTAGCACATTTGTTTTCGAATAACGAATAATACTTTTTTAATTATTCATTTTTCAATGCATTTTATGTTTATGATTTTTTTAATAACAACAGCGTAGATAAAATTATTAAAATAAAGAAAGAGAGGATTAGAAAAGTTAACCACTCGTTTGCATTGTTTTTAAAATGACTTAAAATGTTTTTATAGAAAATTTTTGTGATTATAAAAAACACTTGAAGCACTTTTCATTTTTAAATATAAATAATGAGAGGTACTTCAAGTGTATTTTAAACATTTATTTATATTTTATTACGAAATGTATTTTGCAGATTTTTTTTTATCAAAAAAAAATTTCAATTATTTTAAAAATACATTTAAATTAACCTGATATGAGAATGCATGGCCGAATCATTGCTTATATTTATGGGGTTTGGAATAGTTTCAAACTTTGAAAACAGTTATGAACAGATTCGAAAATCGTGGAAAATTTGTTGCCTATTTTTTTGTGATTATAGAATATCCACCTGTGAGCTTTTTAAAATCTATTCACAAAAAGTGTAAACAATCTAGTGTGCACAATCTCTAGATTATGATAAATATTAATTTTAATTAAAGTTATCCTTTTTTATTTGAACTCTCAAAATGTGCGCTTTAAAGCATCATTTTTGTCAGTACATATATGATTTTGAAATGAGACATTATTTATATTTTTGGATAAGTTCAGTGACAAAATAGGTATACGAGAAAGTAGTACTAAATATAGACTCGTTTGATTTTTGTGCTCCTTCTGAGCCTCTGACTAGTTTTTGCTGCAGTTGGACTGAATGAATTGGTGAGTATTTTTGCATCCACGTTATTTATTCACTCTGTTGATTCCGTTCTTGCAGAAAAAAAATATTCTAAGCTTTGAATTTTTAGGGTTTTCACAATGATTTTATAGTACAAATAATGTTTTTGTTGTTTTGATAAAGACAAATATGTGTTTTGCTTATCGGTTTATCAAATAAATCAACTCTTTTTTTTTTTAAATCCCCTCTTAATTATCATGATAACTTCTAGTTTTGTTTTCGATTATTTTTAACTGGGTTTTTGAGTTGGAAAAGAATTCAACTTCTGAGACTTTTTATGTTTAAAAGTTGCACCATGTCATTTTACTGTCAAGAATATTGTTGGTTGGCGTAATGTAATTTTTTCCAAAAAAGGGAAACGATTTTTGGTTCCAATAGTTTCTGTGCTTGAAGACACATTATATATGCTGTGCAAGTGCAATCTTTTCTGCAAGGTAAGTTGAATATTTCCAAATATTCTCTTTGTTTATGGTTTTGGTTGTTCCCTGGGAGTAAATATGGAAATTACAATAATTAAGCATGTTATTTTTATTTAAATCATATTTATGCAGATTTGGAGAAATGTCCATTTCTGGCTCTGCTCTGTTCTCATAATCTTTACAGCTTTTCTATTGTTGTATTGGAAATTATTTTATTTTAATTTATTATATTTTCCTTTTATGGATGCAAAGAAAAAGGAGGAAAAATCGACAGAAAAGAAAGAAACCTCAAAATCTTTGGTTCACTGAATCTTTGACCTAGTGCTGTTAGATTTTTAGTATTTCTTCACAAATACTAGGGTTTAGGTTCTGTATTTTAGTCATATTTCTGTCCGTACATCACTGGTATATTGAGAGCATTGATTTTCTTTTATTAGCCCCATTGAAGGGTAATGTTCTATATATCACATGTTTTCTCTTGGTTTATGCTTTTGTTTTCTTGGTTATGAATTTCCGGTGTTTTTGGGCATTTTTTCTGAGAGTTGAACTTTGCAATATGTATATTCTTTGGCAGTGAATAGATTTATGATGGATTTTTCTGTGTCCACAACCGCTGTTTACAATAGAATCCAGAAACTAGAACCCGAAAATGCTACGAAGATTATTGGCTTTCTTCTTTTACAAGACGATGGCGAGCAGGACATGGCTCGGTTGGCTATGGCTCCGGAACACTTGATTCACCAAGTGATACTGACAGCCAAGGCTGAACTTCAGCAGTTGGCTACCAAATCAGTGTCATCCCCACTTTCACCTTCCTTGAACCGGACAACAGGTGCTTTCACACCATATTCACCTATTTCGTCTAGGCATTTCTCATCTCCGGCAGCTTTTCAAGTCCCAACTTCATTTTGGGATCGGCAACTAATTGATAGGCACAGCCCGGATTTTATGCCATTGGGTTGCCCTGACTCTATTGCTGTGCTGCAAAACCAGGCTCAGTTTTTGAGTTTGGAGGATCAAATGGAATCAGTTAATTCTGGGATTTTAGGATTCTCTAACGATTGCTTTTACAGGGATGCTGAAATGTGCAGCTTAAGTGCTAGAAATGGTAGAAGGATTTCAAGCCTCGGTGATTTTCCAGTTAAGATATGTCACTATTTCAATAAGGGCTTTTGTAAGCATGGAAGTAGCTGTAGGTATTACCATGGACAAGTGAATTCTGATAGCTTCTATGGAAATGATGGCCTTAATGATGATCATGTTTTGTCACCGGGGTCTCTTGAGAAGTTGGAGTGGGAAATCACCGAGCTTCTTCGATTAAGAAGAGGGATTCCTATTTCAATTGCTTCTCTGCCAATGATGTATTATGAGAGATATGGAAAATCTCTTCAGGCAGAAGGCTACCTAACTGAAAGCCAGAGACATGGCAAGGCTGGTTACAGTTTGACAAGGCTTCTCGCTCGACTTGGAAACAGTATTCGGCTGATTGACAGGTGCAAAATTTGGCCCCTTTTCAGTGTTTTGTGATTGATTGACTGATAGTCTTTCAGATATTGGTACATAACCAGTGCCTTTGTGTTACTTACAGGCCTCATGGGCAGCATGCTGTAATTTTGTCGGAAGACTCTGCAAAATACATGGAAAATCAGAATGAGAAAGGTGGTCCTGGTCCTATTGTTAGCGGTTCGCGACAAATTTATCTAACGTTTCCATCCGAGAGCACTTTCAGTGAAGATGAAGTCTCAAACTACTTCAAGTTAGTCTAATTTTTGGATTTCTCTTTGAAACAAGGATTTCAGGCTTCTTTAGGTATATATTTTCAGGGTTCAAAAGTTTTCTCATTTTGCTGGTTTTCTTTGCAGCACTTTTGGTCCTGTTGAAGATGTAAGAATTCCATGCCAACAGAAAAGGATGTTCGGGTTTGTAACCTTTGTCCATGCCGACACTGTGAAAACAATTTTGGCAAAGGGAAATCCGCATTATGTTTGTGGGGCTCGTGTTCTCGTGAAGCCTTATAGGGAAAAATCAAAGCTTGTTGATAGGTAAATTTTCCTATTGTTATGTTTAGATTTGTACATCCTAAGTCAAACTTCTCAAAGTAATCAGTGGAAACTGTAATATGAAAACCTCCATGAGATTTTGTATAACCAAAATTGTGATAAGATTTTTCACTCCATATATATCCAACAGTTCGTAGAATTCTTCAATACAGTTGGTAAAGCTGTCTTTAATTCTCTACTTGTGAAATAGCCTGCATTAGTGCAAATACTTTTCTTGCCTCTAAGATCTTAGCTTCAGTTAAAATGATGCTGGAAGGCCTTTTTTCCTCTTCCGTGTTAATGACCCTCTTTTTCAATTTCACATGTCTTTGCTTTGTGCAGAAAGTACCAAGAGAGAATGGAACCTACAGCATATTATTCTCCACACTATACGGACATGGAATCCGAGTTCTATTCGAGTGAGTAGCACCTGAACTTTCTCAAATCGTTAAAACAATATAGGTTTATGTTTATACCGACCTTAGATATGGTGACAATAAATTCTTTTAGATTTTTTTGCGATATTTGGTTGTTTGCTTTTATTTTATTTTATTCTTTTATCAAATTAATTGCGTATTTTGTTCAATTGGTGACGGAGTACTTATTTTTGCTAATGCACAAATTGTTTTAGTGTCAAGAAGCAGTGATAACTCTAGATTGTTAAGGAAGAAGCTTTTGGAGGAACAAGAATATGCACTTGAAATTGAGAGGAGGAGGCTGACAGAGCTGCGTTTTGTGCAAAAGCCTGTGGCCAGTCAGCCGCAATCTAGTTACTTCATGGATGGGCTAAAAGTATCAGAAGGTTTGTAATTCATTTCAAGTCTTTAAGTTGTCTGCAAGCCATTTTTCTTCTTTTACCATTTTAATTTAGTACTCCATCTTTTTCTTTCTTCTTGGTATATTTCTTATTGTTGTAGTGCATGCAGATAATTTCAACTTCCCGTCTGCAGAATGTTTCAATAATCTGTTGTATGCTCTAAACAGTGGGTCTACAAGTGATGATAAACCCAAGCATACAGATACCAATTACACTGACCATGATAGGTATATCATGTTTGATGAGTTAATTTTCTTCTTCCGATGGAAGGTTTTAAATAGGTTTTAAATCTTCGCATTGTTCTATCTATCATCTGTCAATGATTGTTCGTGTTTGTATTGGTTTTCTGACAAGGGGGTGTTGTTGCTTCATTTTCCCTTCATTTTTGTGGCAGTCAAGGGCTTAATCTCCCGGATAGCCCGTTTGCAACCCGATAGCTAGTGGCATTTGAACACTCATATAGTTTCAGCAACGCGAAGATTATAGAGTTAGGTAACGGTTCAAATGTGACATATTTTGTTTGACAACATAACCTTCTTTCGTTTTCTTTGGCTTCATCAACTTTTTGGCAAAGTGTCCTGCAAGTGCATGCTGCCTACAGAAGAAACATTAGATGACATTCCTCCCTATCACACACGGGTTGACGGACATAGTAAAGAAGAATTCCTCGATACGTAGAAGTATATGCAAGAAAGATTTACAGTTTCTTAGTGTCAAGTCACAGAAATAAGGCTTGAAACTGATATTTGTAAGTGTCTGATGTAATATTTTAGTCTTTTAGTTGAACAAAGGATCTTAGAATATTTCACCGTTTCAGAAGGTTTTAAATTTGTTAAAATCTGTGTCACATTGAGCAAAAATGAAATTACCTTGAACCATATGTCAGCTAGAAAATATACCAACTGTATAATTTCAATCGAAGTGGGTAGTTATATTTATTAATTAATCATTTTATTGCTGCTGAAATGTTTTATTTTTATTATTTTTTATGCTCTCGTTGAACTTGAAGCTCCTCATTTATAATTGCTGCATAGAACAAAACAAAGAGTGGAAGTGTGCTTTTAATTTCAATTAATTTCCATGAATTCAAGGTTTGCATATATTTTTCATTTTTCTGTATTTTAGGCGAAGATTGCGTTGTCCTTTAACAAATTGTACTTTTATTTGAATGTGTTAATTGGGAAGATGAAACTGCAGTATCTTACCACATGACATTGCTTGGTTTGGAGAGAGCGCGGTCTTTGAGACTTCCACACCTTGGGATCATCAACACTTTTTTTCAAGATAAATGTTCTTCTAATGTCGAAAAACATGGTGTATTCGTTTATGTATTTTTGTCTAATTAGAGTTTTATCTCAAAATTCAAAAGTAATAATTCTTTTAATATATATGTGATCATAATTTTCTTTTTATTTGTGATTACTGTGCGTTTTATAATACATGATAAAAAAAAAATCTCTGTTGATGTGTTTTATGGTTTCAACAGAGTTACACAGCCAATGGAATGATCAAATCATAGGCCTCTTCGGGGAAAATGTTAGAGAGATTAATTATTTAAACTGAATTTTATAAATTGTATAAGTGAGGTTGTGGATTATTATTTAAGTATTGATTAGTGTACTTATTTTTCATTAGTGATATATCACATGGTTTACAAATTTGGTTTAAAAAATTGATCTACTTAACATTCCTCCTTTGCAAAATGAATATAAATTTTTAAACCAAATGATATGTCATCAATAAAAAATATGCACATTAATTGACATTTAATTAATAATCCAATCATCAACAATCAAGTCATTTGATTTCCACAATTTGGTTCAAAAGTTTGGTCTCCTTAACATTACCCACGCAAAATTATACGTCAAAATCATTCGAATCTAATTAAACTTATTTCTTAAACTCATATATTTGAGTGGGAGTTGTTTATAGCTAGGGTGGTGATTTTTCTGTTTTTGGTGGTTTTTGTCCACTGGTCAAGGAAATATAAGGAGGAAATGTTAAATGTAACTTATAGTAGTGCTTTATTGTCAATGCCTGCAAGATCATCAATGGGTTGTGTGATGTTTTCCTCTTGGTGCTTTTCTGTTAGATTTACAATTAACTTTCAAAGTTAAGTTCTTGTGAATGTTATTTTTTCAGTCATTTGAATGTGGCTAATCCATATCCTCTGGCTTACATTTAACATGTGTACATCGTGCACGTTATTGATTGTTCTTAAGAAAAGTTTCATTTGATTTTTCCCAAAGTAATGCCTAGTGGAGTAGAACTCACCTAGACATGGCACAATTTTTCCCTCATCATTGATTTACTTGATCATTTATACACGCGGTGACAAGTAAGAACGTCTTTTTTTCCAAGTTTCACAAAAACCAACATCCACAAATGAATATCGAGCAAGACTACTGCATTCTTAACTGTTTTTTTATTTTTTTTATTTTTTTATTTCTAGTTATTAGATTGAATCTGCATTTCTGTTAACACATCGAGGACAACAAACATCATTAAATAAGAGTGATAACTAAAAAAATTCGTGTATTATTTAAATAAAAATCTCAAAATATCTATAACTAGTAATAAAAATGCTGAAAGCAAAGATATAGAAAGGACAAACCTGCAGTGTCCTTTGTTTCATTCACTGTCTCTTCCTTTCACTGCTAAATTTAGTTTTCCGAAATTGACATTCACAAAATTATATTGAGGGTCTTCTATGATCTGAATAAGCAAACCGACCCTGGAATCGATAACGTGCAAGCTTCTGCCCACAGACTGGATCAAATGCCCGCAAGTTTCGTTAATACAATTACGTTGGAGGACTTCACAACCAAATGCCAATGCAATAAGGTTGTATTATTAAAATCCTTAAATTGTATTCTCGCTTTTGTGATGGCTGGATGTATTTTTTGTGAGTATTGAGTTATGTGTTCTAGTCTTTAAACGATTAATCTCGTTTCTATTGAAAAATAATAATATTTAGGTTCATTTTTATTGTTTGGGATTGGGCATTATCCCATCCAAATTAGGGTTTTTTTTGCTCTCTATAAATATGGCTTGTAGTTTAGTATGAGAACAAGTTAATCGTTTCGGCAATCTTATTTACTTGTTTTCCGTTAATAAAGTAGTCTTCATAGTTACATTTCGTTTGTTTATTTTCAACTGCTCCTTTGCGATGACTTTATGTGGTCTCATTCAATTTGTGTGTCCGTAAAACTTAACTCTAGATCAATTTCCTGGTCACAAGAACAATATGCTCAATTGACATCTCTATATTTGTATGTGTTGACCAATAAAATACTATATCTATTTTTTTTTTTTTGTAAAAAAATTTAAGTAAACGGTTTCAAAAAAGGGTAAATATTATATGGAAGCCAACTGTGAGATCATGAGTTAGAGGTCATATAATTCTAGGGTTACAGCCAACCAAAAGCTTGTGATGTAAGAAAGCAAACTGCTGTATGTTATTCAGTATTTATGTAACATCCCACATCGCCCAGGGGTGAGGATCCTGGAAGCCTTATATATATATTCCCATCTATACCTAGCATGAGGCCTTTTGGGGGCTCACTGGCTTCGGAGTTCATTTGAACTCCAAAGTTAAATGAGTTCGCACAAGAGCAATCCCAGGATGGATGACCCATTGGGAAGTTCTCGTGTGAGTTCCCAGAAACAAAATCGTGAGGGCGTGGTCGGGGCCCAAAGCAGACAATATTGTGCTACAGTGGAGTCAAGCCCAGGATGTGACAAATTGGTATTAGAACCAATCCTTGGCCGGATGTGTGCCGACGAGGACGTCGGGCCCCTAAGGGGGATGGATTGTAACATCCCACATCGCCCAAGGGTGAGGATCCTGGAAGCCTTATATGTATATTCTCATCTCTACCTAGCATGAGGCCTTTTGGGAGCTCATTGGTTTCGGAGTTCATTGGAACTCTGAAGTTAAGCGAGTTCGCGCGAGAGCAATCCCAGAATGGGTGACCCATTGGGAAGTTCTCGTGTGAGTTCCCAAAAACAAAACTGTGAGGGCATGGTCGGGGCCCAAAGCGAACAATATTGTGCTACAGTGGAGTCGAGCCCAGGATGTGACAAATTCGTATTAGAACCAATCCTTGGCCGGATGTGTGCCGACGAGGACGTCGGGCCCCTAAGGGGGGTGGATTGTAACATCCCACATCGCCCAAGGGTGAGGATCCTGGAAGCCTTATATGTATATTCCCATCTCTACCTAGCATGAGGCCTTTTGGGAGCTCATTGGTTTCGGAGTTCATTGGAACTCCGAAGTTAAGCGAGTTCGCGCGAGAGCAATCCTAGGATGGATGACCCATTGGGAAGTTCTCGTGTGAGTTCCCAGAAACAAAACTGTGAGGGCGTGGTTAGGGCCCAAAGCGGACAATATTGTGCTACGATGGAGTCGAGTCCGAAATGTGGTGGGGATTCGGGCTGGGATGTGATAATTTAGGTTCAACAAACCGATGGGACGTCAATTTAGGCTAATCAAACGAGTAGTTAGTAAAAAATCTACTACGGGCTCTTTTGGAAGTGCTATTAGGTTCAACAAATCGATGGGAAGGCAATTTAGGCTAATCAAATGAGTAGTTAGTAAAAAATTTACTACAGGTTTGTTTGGAAGTGCTTTTAAAATAACTAAAAGGGTTGGTAAAAATGTTTTGAAACTTCAATTGGATCTTGACAAAGCACTTTAAGTGATTCTTGCAAGAAGCACATATTCGGTGCTTCTTCTTGGAATCCAAAATTAATTTCACCAAAAACGCTTTCAGTTATTTTCAAAGCACTTACAAACAAACCCTACGTTTATTATAGTTAAGGTGACAACCAAGTTGTGTTCTCGGTTGTATTATTTTATTTTATTTTTTTGAACAAACGATATTATTTATACTAAGGGGAAGGGGTGGGCTTAACCTTACAATGGGCTAGTAATAATGTGGTTCAAATTCGTCTTTGGCGAGAATCGAACCTAAGCCTCTTACTTACAAGTGAAGAGGAATACTATTAGACCGTAGTATTAAGTGGCCAGTTGTATCATTTTTAGATTCGCATAGAATACTATTTAATTATAATTCGATTGCTTAATTAATTAAATTAATAATATAATCACAGACTTGAAGTTGTGAACTCCAATATTGGGAAATCATCCTCCTAATGAGGCTATTATTAATAATACTATATTTCTAAACTTATAGGGCTTGTTTGGTGATTAGAATTGGTTTGATCGAAGTATATTGAAAGTAAATGTGAATGATTTTTTTTATTAGGAATAGATAAGTTTTCTTGATGAGCAATCTATCTTCTACCATTAAGTTAGACAAAATAATTTCATTTATTTTTTCAGTATACCTTGAAATATATATTTGGTGTTTATATATCATAGACACTAAGCAATCCCGTTGTACCATACAAAGATATAAAAAGAAGTAGGGGCCTGCCTGGTTAAGTTTTAGAAAACGATTTTTAAGTTGGAAAGACTTGACAAATAGGAATTTGCATTTTAAAATCTAAGTATGTGGAATGGTAGTTTAATTTGGTAATGGAGTTTTTTTCTATAAAAAAATAATAATAAAATAAGAAAAATATTAAAAACTTGTAAGGTGCCAATGTCTAAAATAGTAAAGGGAAAAAAAAACATAGTAAATTCGGTATTGGTAGTAATGTTTTTGTAATATAAATTTACTGTCACGAAGAAGTACAGGTTGAGTGATATAAACAACTGCCAAAGGCTAGGCCATGGATGAAGGGGCTAGTGAGGTGAGATTTTTCCTAAATAATAAGTATTCAAATGGTAATCCACATGTCATAATACAAGTGAAGAAAATGATATATTTTTTCATATCTCTCCACTTATTTTACGACACATGGAGAATCGACTTGAAGATCGGGCACTTCGAAAAATTCCTCGCCAGAGCACGATGACTA